AACACTTTTGAGAGTGGACTGGCCCTTTAAGAGGAAGTAAGAGGAGTAAACGGATAACAATGTAACAAATAAAATGAAACTTTCCACCACAAAGATACTAACGAGGAACCTTCCACATCCCCCCACCCCGAGGTGTACACTGCTACGGTCCACTACAAGACATACAGGCCCCCCCCTTCATTTTCCCAGAAATCCCCCTCCTCCCCTGCCAGGAAACTACAATCTGGGGGGCACAGTGGAGGGGAAAGGGAGAGAAGACCCCTAAAGAGGGAAGGGGAGCATTGTAGTCCTCAGGAGAGCCCACATTACCTGTGTCACTGCGCTGTGCTGGAGCTGAGGGTGGAAAGGGTTGGGGGAAGGAGGAGGGGCTAAGATGACAGAGACCACGCCCCTAGGAGTCACTTTGCACCAACGTCAGCTCTTAAAGGGCCATTCCGACCTCCTGAGAAACCAGGAGAATGAGATCATCCACAGAGAAGAGGACCTGCCTGCGTCTGTTTTGTCTGTATACAAATTTGTTGTGACAACCATAAGGACGCATTTACGTATTTCGCTCATTAAAATGCGTTGCGTTAAGGCCAACGCAACACAACACAACGTCCTGAAAATCGGACAGGACACAAAATTTGCATCCGTTGGGGTACCATTCCGAATAAATGGTAGAAACCGCAGCAATAGATAGATCATGCGTTGCAGCAACGTACGTTTGCGCTATGAAAAGGTATAAATAGGCCGTAAGGGTTGCGTTATGTTGTGCGTTAACGTGCATTGTGTTAAGGCCAACGCAACGCAACGTCCTGAAAATGGGACATGACACAAAATGGACGTGTTGGGGTGCCATTCGAAATCAATGGTACAAAATGCAGCAACACAAAGTGCAAAGATATAAATTGGCCCTAAGGGCTGCGTTTTGTTGTGCGTTCATGTGACTCGCATTAAGGCAGCCCATTGAAATAAGCGCACCCTGACATGCTGACAGAAAAAGACGCAATCCTTTTTAATCGATGCTCTGCTACGTGTTGCGATACTTTACGCTACAATGCAGGTGTGTAAGCATGCCATTCAAAACGAATAGAACTGTAACGCAGTGTGGACCAGGAGGACTGAGCTGCAGCTGCTATGGGCCCCAGAGAAGAGGGGGGGCCCAGTCAGGACCAGGAGGGGTGAGCTGCAGGGTTGTATGGGGCCCGGGGCGGCCCAGTCAGGACCAGGAGGGGTGAGCTGCATGGGTGTATGGGGCCCGGGGCAGAGGGGAGGCCCAGTCAGGACCAGGAGGGGTGAGCTGCAGGGGTGTATGGGACCCGGGGCAGAGGGGAGGCCCAGTCTGGACCAGGAGGGGTGAGCTGCAGGGGTGTATGGGACCCGGGGCAGAGGGGAGGCCCAGTCTGGACCAGGAGGGGTGAGCTGCAGGGGTGTATGGGACCCGGGGCAGAGGGGGGCCCAGTCAGGACCAGGCTGGGTGAGCTGCAGCTGCTATGAGGCCCAGGGCAGAGGGGGGCCCAGTCAGGACCAGGAGGGGTGAGCTGCAGGGGTGTATGGGGCCCGGGGCAGAGGGGGGGGCCAAGTCGGGACTAAAAGGGGGGAGCTGCAGGG